ATATTCGTCCTGTGCAACTGAACTGAACTGAACTGATCTGAACTGAACTGAACTGAACTGCGCTACACCAGTCGCGTGCTCACTTGCAACTTGCCATTTTGGTTGGGTTCAGTTCAGTTCAGTTCTCCCAAGACGAATTGTGGCTTTTGCCAATCGCGCGTCCAGTTCTTTGTGTTGTCGGCGGTTTCTTTGGCTTCCAACACTTCGAGTCAAAAGTAGTTTCTGAAAGGCGGAATGTTAGTATCAGATCCCTTATAGTATTTCCGAAAGTAAAGCCTAACGATTAACTTTCAACACTCAACTTCAGGGACTACCACAGCCCAGCATTCATCTAACCTTCTCTTGAAAGATTCGACATTAATACAGTTAACCACTGCTTCAGGTAGTTTATTCCACAGTGGTATAACTCTGTTTGTGAAGAACCTAGCTCGCAAATTCAGTCTACAATGACTTCTTTCCAATCTGAGTTGATGGCCCCTCGTGCCCCTGGCAGGAACAAAGAAGAATACGTTTTGGAACCTTAGACCCGAAAGCCCTTTGAGTTGTGTTCATGTCTCACTGGGTCTTTCGGTTTGTGGTGTGTGCGTTTTCCTCTCTTTCAGATTGTCGCTCTCTCCACGAAGAGCTGCCTGTCTACCGGCGGTTCCTGCTCACACTTACACGGCCCACTTGCGGTTGTCTAGCGTATCCGTTCACGGTGACATCCTGCCGCACACGACTCAAACATCTCACACATTTGTAACGACCCTGGCAATTCGCCATTCTGCTTGAATGTGGGTCGTGTAATTGTCTCAGGGGACCACTTGGTTCATGGTGTTTGCTTTTTCCGCTCAGATTTTCAGAAAAACCCCGCTCCACGGAGAACATTCTGTGTCGACAGTTGCAGCCCACAGCTATACTCAGCCCACTTGTGGTTGCCTTGAAATCACTCTCGGGGTCGAGCCTGGCGCCCGATGGTCCCGGATTCTTGATGGATCTCTTGTTTTCTGTTCGTTGAGGATGCGACTGGAAAATCAGAAGAAAAAAAACTAAAGGGAGCTGTTGGTTGGTGTATTCGTGCACGGGTACATCCTGTCTCACAAGCCAAATATCACGCAAATTGCCACCTCCCCATAAAATGATAGATAGCATCGGGTTGACTTTTTGGCCACAGCCGGCAAATGACCAGAGAGAAACGCTAGACTCACTGATTTGGTTGTGCCTGCATGCAACTGCACGCGTTCGAAAGCACCGACAGTATTTGCAGTTGCTCTGTTGGGAAGGCCAACGCAATCTAGATTATATTGTGGGAAAGCTCGGACGCTGTGTTTACTGAGGTCTGCGAAACCTCCAAACCTGCCTCTGGGTGGGCGGATAGGGGTGGAGTTCTCCGGCAAGCCAAATTGATGTTCACGTAGCACACTTTCGAGTTGTTCAATTCCACGTTCCATCTCCCATGCGGCCTGTAATGTCGGTGGCGAGTCTTCGGAACTTCTTGATAAGTTCCGGATACCGGACGCCGCCGCATACTTGGACTCTACATGGATTCTAAAATCCATACTTTCTTCGGCCGATTCCGGGAAGAAATCTTCGGCCCAGCGGCGCAGATGTCGGACAACGTTATGAATTTTCTTGCCCGGCTTCTGGATTGTCGTCTGTAACTTGTAGCGAGCCGCCAATCTGTCAGTATCGTCGATGAGATACTGTCGCAGCCGGGAGAAAGTGCTTGCAGAGATGAGATCACTGGGTCGGATTACATCGCGTGCAATATCATTTGCTTGGTCATTCAATAGGAAGAGCAGTACATGCCGTCGATCATTCGTAGGGAGAAACTCAATATGTTCCTGTGCGGCCGTCTNCCGGAAGTCATCTCCCAATGCAAACGTTTTTGGTGGGGAGATGCTCGGAGAGGGTTGGATGTGTACCCGTCCGCCTTGGACTACAGAGGACAATAAGGACAGTTGGGACAACAGGGTTCCAAAACGCATTGGGGATTCTTCAGGTTCTGATTTCTCAGGGGTAGTTTTCTTCGGCTTGGTGGATCCTGGTTAGGCCGCCACTTTGTAGTATGTTTCGATCAGTGAGAAGACTCGACGGATTCGAACGAAAATATATTGGTACAAAACGTAGCAACACCATAAGAATATGAAGTGGTTACAATAACAAATGGTCTTGTTACGTGTGGGTGCTGTTTTGGTCTTCGTCCTCAGTGTCTTGTATCCCTGCTCCGGATTGTGGCACTAAAAGTCAGCCTTGAGCTGCAAAGAGAGCACTCCAGGTTGGAGTTGAGGGCCAGGTTCTTCACGAACCGTGTGGTGCCATTGTGGAACAGACTACCGGAGAATGACAGCATCGAGCAAGAATCAGGTCACCCACTATGTGCTGCGCAGCGCCTCCGGTGAGCTCATCTCCGATGCGCAGGGAAAAATGTCTCGGTGGGTGGGACACTTTANAACTACCATGTGCGTCCTCCTCGCCATCGTTTCCGTACGAAGTTAACTGCGCTCCGCCGTCAGTAGAAGAAGTCTCAGATATTATCAGCCATCTCAAACCACGGAAATCTCCCGGTGAGGACGGGATACCCTCGGAAATCTACGCGAGTGTTCAGCTATTCTTCAGCTATTTTAAACCCTCTTCATAGCTTGCTGTGTACAATCTGGGAAACCGAAATTTGCCCAACTGACTGGACCATATCGATTTTACTACCGTTCCCCAAAAAGGGTGACAAGTCAGTGTGCGAAAACTACAGAGGCATCAGCTTATTGGACGTGGCGGCCAACGTTTTTGCACAACTCTTGCTGAGCCGCTTTGCTGCAGCAAGGCATGCACGCCCTCGTCCTAACCAGAAAGGATTCCGCCCCTGTGTAGGCTGCGTCGATCAAATATTCACTCTACGTCGACTCTTGGAGCATCGCCACAAGTTCCAACAACCTA